GTTTTCTGCAATCTATCTGTGACAAAAGAGATCCTTATCGGACATTCCCTGGGCGGACTATGCACGCTACATGCACTGTTCGAGAATACAACACCTTTCGATACATTTATTGCCCTTAGTCCCTCAACCTGGTGGAACAATGAGTTTATCCTTGGGGAAGCTGAGCGTTTCTTGAAACAACATCAAGATGGTGTAGGCTCAGAGCTACGTACCACATTGCCAACTTTGATGATTATGTATGGGAGCCTGGAACAGGAGCGACGGTGCCACCCCAGCTGGAGCGAAGATAAATACCGGAGAGTGAAAGCTTTGTCGCAGGAACGAAAGATGAAAGACAACGCTGATGCGCTAGCGAATCGTCTGCGAGAAAGTGGCCAATTAAGAATGGTACGGGTCAAAGAATATCAAGATGAGGATCATGGGAGTGTGGTTGGTGGCGGTATTAGTTGGGCAGTTGCAGCTGTCTTGGATGAAGGGAGATTTTTTCTGATGGGGATAATTAGCTGGCACCAGTTCAACTCTTTGATGAACTTTGGGACCATACTCTCCAATCGCCTCATGTAAGCTACCTTAGGGTCGATAGCTAGATGTCTGGTAATAGCATCATCCTTGATTAATACAAGAGATTTCTGCTCACTCAATCCTAGGGCTTCATCTTGAGCTTCATAGTTATTTTTTAATAGTGGCAATTACTAGTGCATCGAATCCTGGCTTTGCTGCAATAAAACTCGCTGTGTTACACTGTTTTGAGTACCGGAGCAATATGAAATAGCTTGCAGCAGAAGAACTTTTAAGTGTTTAAACCATGATTATGGTGAGCTCGTTGCTACCATTGAAAAATTCTATCTAGTAAAATACTAGAAGGTCGTCAGTGAGAATGAAGGCCACGCTCTACAACTCGTCGAACGAACATTCTCCTTGCCCACTAACCAGCTCTAAATAAAGCTTTCCCTAGTGTGTAAAGTTCAACCACTTTAGGACCTGAAGGCTGTAACACGACGCATAAACAGTAACCAAATTATCTAGCGAATATATTCATCTACATGAGAATGATAGAGTGACAAATAAAGAGGCCGGTGGAATACTGATACGGAAACATTTCCTTTGCACTACAGATAAATCTACAGCAACTGAAACTATTCCAGTATGTTCAGACCCGCCAAATGCAGCTAGGTCCCTGTCTCCAAGAATACGAACTAGGGTGACTTTTCTTATTTGTCTTCATCCAGATAGCACAGCTAAACTAACATAAGCTAGCAAAAGACCTGTTACCATAATATCAAGCTCATGTGGGGATCAAGCTATCGGAGTCTGCCCGACTGGTCAGTGGTGAGTGTTCTGCAAGAAGGCGCTAAAATCGCATATTAATGAACTGAAGTTCATAGTAGGATACTAAAGAGGGTCAACAGTAACTAGTCTTATATGGCATGTCTACACACCTGCTCTGCAGTCTCCACGAATATGTGCTTTCCAGCCTGTATTGATGTTCTTGCTTTTCTTTCTTTTTGGAAGCTGTATGTGATGGGCTAATCAGTCAGCCGAAGAAAGAGATGGCCAAGAGCTAATATTAGACAAAAAGACACTACAGAAATTCACACGATACACTCCAAGAATATAGAACAATGCCATCAGCCACCAGGAAGCCACAGCCCACAACGATAGTCATCAAAATAGCCCAACCGCAGTCGACCAAAAACCAAGCAAGCTTCCACATCTATCATGCCATACGATGCCATGCGACGCCAAAAAGCAAGGCCATAAATGTGGAGTGCGGATACTAGCGCGATAGCCGGACTTATTCCTGCAGACAGTACCCCGCCGACGGAGCCCTCACCGAGGAGCCCATTTTCATATGTGGATGGAGAGACTATAATGATGCAAAAGTCGCCAAGGGGAGTCGTTATGATAGAGGATGTCAAGAAGTCCGACGAAGCCGTGAGAAGCAAGGCCAGGCCCATGAGCCAGTGCTAGCACAGACATGGCTTGAAGCCAAGGTGTGAACCCTGCCCTTGCTTTCGGGGCCTCCGTTGTTGGCCCCACATTTTTAGTTTCTCTTAGCGTGGGTTCCTGTTAACCTTATATGGAGTATAGTTCAAGACACTGAGCATGTCATCTAGTAAAAATCCGAAAATCTTCCGAAGATAGTGGGGGGTATTCGAAGGTGTTTCGGCCCTAGGCCACCTGACCGCTACTACATACTATGGTGGGAGGATTGAAAGTCATTGCTATAGTTCTAGGGCCTAGATTAATATGGTATCAGTGGGGATGTCGTAGGGCTGCGAGTTTCTTATTCGGGGGTACGAAGGAGATGGGACAAACGAATTGATCTTTTATACTCATGTCCGAGCATTCTGTTCTATTCCATGGAGCGAATGGCGAAGGTATTCCTGCACTGCAGTTTCTCCGGTGGATGGGCTGGGCAATACCACGGATAAAACGTTAATGGTAAACGGCGCCCACCAAACAGAATCAAATAGAGTAAGCATGCTTATATTTAAGGCTATCCAACACCCTGCAAACTCTACGTAGTCGCTCTTATCAGGTCAGTAGCATAGATCTAGAGTATAAACCGGCTCCTCCTTCATAACTAGCCCATACACCGTGCATTAGGGCTGCGATCCTTCACGTTTAGGGGCCTTGGCGGATTTGTAGATCAAAGGAACACGGAACATGACTCCGATAGTCTCAGAATTAACTCATATTTCCTCCGAGATATGTTTCGTGTAGTTGGTAAATTATAAAATAGAGCAGTGTTCAGAACCTTCACTCAGTTCTTTAGCCGTGAAGCTCTACCGGTACCACTTCTTCCAGTAGAATGACCATGTCTGAAACGATTCATCTAACGGAATATCTCTTCCGGCGACTCCGTGAGGCCGGGTTGCAGGCTGTCCATGGAGTACCCGGCGACTACAATCTCCTGATGATGGATTATATTGTCCCAACTGGGCTGGAGTGGGTTGGAAATTGCAACGAGCTCAATGCCGGCTATGCCGCCGACGGGTATGCGCGAGTTAAGGGAATCGGTGCCCTAGTCACGACATTTGGTGTAGGAGAGCTATCCGCCATCAACGCCGTCGCGGGCTCTTATGCTGAAATGGCCCCGGTCGTTCACATTGTTGGGACACCGAAGCGTGCAATGCAGATGCGAGGGGCTAAGCTTCACCATTCCGTGTGCAGTGGGAAACCAAGCGATTTCACCATGTTCGCAGAGATGTACTCTAAGATCACGGTGGCACAAGAGAATCTCTGGGATGCTTCAACAGCCCCTGGCCAGATTGACCGGCTGATACGGGAATGTGTCATTCAATCTCGGCCAGTGTATTTGCAAGTTCCGGCGGACATGGTTACCGAACCCATCCCCGCCGCAGCTCTTGCTTCTCCTTTAGATCTCAGTCCACCTGTCAACGACCGGGAGGCTGAGCAGGAAGTGTGTGATATCATTGTTGAGAGGATCAGTAATGCGAAGCAGCCATTCATCCTGATAGATGCCGGCACATCCCGCTACGGACTAGCGAATGAGGCGGATGAGCTGGTCAAAAGCACAGGATTTCCAACTGCTACAACACCCTTCGGAAAGGGCATCGCAGATGAGACACTACCGAACTTCCACGGCATCTATGCATCGTTAGGGCAAGGGACGTATGTGCCATACGTCGAATCCTGCGATCTGATTATAAATATCGGACCCGTCCACAGCAATGTGAATACCACGTGTTTTACCACAATTCCCAACCCCAACGTGTCCATTGTGTTCGACCAGACCTGTATCACCATCGATGGCAGGGTCTACAACATCTTCCCCAAAGGTGTGTTGAGACGGGTACTCGACCATCTCCAGGATACTATGCTCTCCTTCTGGCGATACCCAAAATTACCAGACCAGCGAGCTGCCCTAAAGCGCATCCCATCAGTCATCAGCACGGACGCCCTGACACAAGACATATTCTTCAAGCGCATGTCACACTTCTTCCAGCCTGGGGACATAGTTCTAACAGAAACCGGCACCGCAAGCAACGGCGGACGGGACTTTGTCTTTCCTCAAAACGTGAGCATGATCAACTCCGGTGTCTGGCTATCGATTGGGTACATGCTCGGTGCCGCACAGGGGGTAACTCTAGCACAACGAAATATGGGCTCACAAGGACGGACAATCCTCTTCATCGGTGATGGCAGTTTCCAAGTGACGGCACAAGAGCTGAGTACCATTATTCGGAAGAAACTGAGCGTTATTATCTTCCTGATTAATAACGACGGCTACACCATCGAGCGTTTGATTCATGGGATGAATGAAGAATATAATGATATTGCCATGTGGCGGTATCTTGACTCACCTTCTTATTTTGGGGCTCCCTCTGATGATTCATATCCTGTGTTTACTGCGAGGGTGCAAACGTGGGGGGAGCTTGATGGTGTTTTGTCGAGAGAGAACTTTCAGCGCGGCCCGGGGCTGCGTATGGTGGAGTTGATGATGGGGGTCTCAGATTGTACGGAGTCTTTGAGGCTTTTTCTCCAGATGTATGCGTCTAGGAAGGAGTAAATGCATTTTGATTCAAGTTTTCCACCCTTGATACCTAGAATGTAAATAAGCGATGGCAGTCTACAAGGGACTTCCAATGTTGATATCATGAAATAAACATTGTGTATGGAGGGCCTAGACGCGAGACTCATAGATAGTCGCAAGGTATTAAAGGAACCCTCTTCAGGATATAGGTATATCTCAGTGACCTTGGACACTGTGTTATAAGGTGCATGAATATATGCAATAGTTGAAAACAGAGATCAAAATCCTGGAACTTAGAACAGCTAACCGGAGGTGTGCAGGATCAGTCAAACAAAGTGTAACACAGAACCCTCTCCCTGAAGCCACAATCCCACCATATCAAGGCCGACCTCTTTCGCTGTGTCTTCATACTTCATAGTCGATAACACGTCCAACCGTACCTCAAACAATATAATACCCTAACTAAGCCATCCTACTCCCACCAACCCAAAGCCAGACATCAATCACCAAACCCCCTTCTAACATAATCCAAAACCTCCCAAGCCCACCTATCCCTCCCCCTCATCCCCACAGTCCCAACCCCAACTCCCAACCCAAACACCCTCGAATTCGCATGTCTCTCTGAAAAGACCGGCCCTCGCCAACCCCTCTCCCTACAAACCGCAACAGCAGCCTCCAACAAGCCCCTCCCAAGCCCAACGCCGCGATATCCCAACCTTACAGTCCAAGCGCGAATAACACCAACCGTAGTCCTATCCTCAAGAACATCCATCTTCGTTCTCTCGGGGATAGATACATGCTCATCCAGTTCAGAAAGGGTGTCAAAAGCCCTTAGAACCAGCGTGCCTATGATCTTGCCCCCGAATTTGGATATGAGAATTAGATCCCTGTCTCTGGCACTAGTTTCTGGGTCTTTGGAAGTGGGGTGTTGGTGGCGGTGGCTGGGTGGTGGGTTTGAATTGGAATGGTGGTTGTTGCTGTATAGCCATCTCCATGTTCCAATGCGTTCTGCTTCGTCGAGGTAGCCTCTTGTGGTGTACCGTGTGAATAGGAGGATGGTTGCTATGCTACCTGTGCTTGTTGTTACGAGGAGGGGCCAGTCCGGGGGTGTTTGGTAGAGGTGTTGTGAGAAGAGGAGGAGGGTGAGGGTGAGCAGGGTTAGGGTTAGGGGGTGGAAGAGGATGGCGCGGGATGCGGTTTGGCGTTGTTGGGCGATGCTGTCGGAGATCAGGTGGAGGGAGGTAATTTCTTCGGGGATTGTGTGGGCGAGGGTTGTTGTTAGGTGGGGGAGGTTTTGGTTTGGATTGTTGGGTGGAGGCATTGTGGTGGGTGAGGGTTGCTGGTGTTGGTATCTGAAAGTAGTGAAGGTATACGGAAGGCGAGGGAGGTGGTTGCCTTAGGGTATCAGGCTCGTGACTCCAGCGTAGTCACTGATGAGAGCATAGTTACGCCATGCACAGTTACCATATTTGTGAGTTATTTATGCCGTCTGAATAATTTATGAACGAGGTGGAAGGTTGATTATTTAAACATTGGGACTGATTGTTTCAAACAGATTGGTTAACAATAGTATTGGTTGATGTAGACTCGAACTTAGTATACCAACTTAACGCCATAACTAACCGCTAAAAACGGGACACAAATCTACCAATTTTTCATTGCTCTCCGCGTGTCTCTCTGCCTCACTGGTGGTATTCTCATTCTTCGGTTGGGCAGGCCTGGCCTCCACCTGGCTTCGAGACTCCCCAGTAGACTCCGACGATGTTTCGAGATCCTCTCCGGACATCAGCTCCAGTGTCTTGCGTTTTGTCTCGGGAATTAACAGGGACGTGGAACACCCACAGAGCATGAACAAGGCGAATATCTGCATTACGTGATTCAACCAGGGAGTATCCGATGAATCCTTGCCCTCCTTGGCTCCTTTATATGCCAGAGGTCCAAAAACACACTGTGCGATGATTGCTCCAACCTTCCCCGATGCTGCGCTGATCCCATGCGAAGTGGAACGGTACCGCGTGGGGAAGCATTCACCAGGAACAATAAATGTTGTTGCATTAGGTCCAAAATTAAAGAAGAATTGAGCAATGATATATAATCCAAGCAAACCGTTGTTCGACCGTTTGAGAGGTTCATACGCAAAGCCGATGACAATAAACACAACAGTCAGAACAACAAACCCCATCAGTTGAATCGGCTTGCGGCCGAGATAGTCCACGGTCGCAACGCTGACCCAGTATCCGGGGATCGCACCAGCGCAGATTAGAATCAAATTTCCGACTGCATTGCGGTAAAAGTATTCGTAAACATTCTTACCACCGTTCCAGCCGATGGCCGTGAGAATTATCGAGTTGTTGAGACCGAGACCGTAGAAAGCTGCAAGTCTTAGCCATTTTACTCTGTAAAGGAGACCAATATACACACCAACGTCAAGGAAGAACCATGAGCCCGCAGTACCCAGTAGAACCTTACCATTCTTCCATTTGAGAAAATGGGACCAAAAGTCCGACCAACCGGCTTTGGGGGTGACCAGAACCACGGCTTCATCCTGTAAAACAGCGATTCGCCTGACCTCATCCGGGTGACCTTCATGCTTTCCCTCAATATAGGCACGGACGTCAGCGCCCGCCTTTTCAATATCTCTAGCAACATCAAAGGTGTAGCGCGGTGTCTCCGGATGGTGAGTCGGTAGTAAAGAGCAAGACACGCCGGAACAGCCCCAAATCCAATCACAACGCGCCACATCTTGTCAACGGCAAGTTGACAGACTCCTGAACACGTCGCTACAGATGTTGCAGACTCCAGAGATCCTTTGAAGCCCACTGTCGCAGTCAGAGCAACAATCGCAGCGCCAAATTGTCCAAACCCTTGCATTGCGAACACTGCACCCATCATCGCGCCTCGGTGCCTGGTCGTTGCGAACCTACAGCATTCTGCCATCAGTCGCCATACAGCCACTGATAGTAATGACTTACTCGGAAGTAATAATGGAGGACAGTGGGTAGTCACCACCAATACCAATCCCCATGAGTACGCGCCAGAAGACCAGGATACCGGTGATCGAGACAGCAGGAGAGTCCGATGCGAGAGCCTGGGCCAAGGTCGTTAAAATGATGATAATCAATTCAATTCCATACATCCGCTTGCGCCCCACAATATCCGCAAGCCATCCAAAGAAAAGTTGCCCGAAGACCGTACCCCCTGAGGTAGACACTTTTATGGCGGTGTCAGAGTGATACGGAATCTTTCCAGGGCGTGAAACGGCATCTTGCCAGTAAACAATGCCCAGCATAGCTGAGCAGAGGTTGATAGCGAAGATGTCATAGGAGTCTGTGAAGAACCCGACACCAGCCACAACGACCGCCCGAGCGTGCCGCCAGCCAAAGGGGGCGTTGTCGATCTGGGCAAGTGCGAGACGACGACGTTCGTTTGCATCCTGGGTATGAGCCAATTCAGCATTGTAGTTGGGAAAGGCGGAATTGCCGCCAGAAGTCAAAGTAGTCATGTTGCGTTCACTGAAATGCTGCGATTTGACGTTTCAAGTTAGGCTATGAGAGATGACAAGCGCCGAGGGAGGTATGCGAGAAAATTATAGTATATATAGCTCGATATAAAAACGAAACGCTATTAGTGATACAAGCAACAGGCAATAACTTCACCGTAAACAGCCTCAATCTGCTTACACTCACCACCAATAGAACATGCACATGGCCTAATGAATGGCTATGAAAAGATTAGAGCAGGCACGAGGAGTTTCCCAAAAGGGAAGCAGTAACCCTAGGTTGCACGTTCGTGGCGTCTGGAGCTCCCGAACCATGCAATCAAGGTTTCTTTACGACGTGAGGTCCATTCGTAATTGTCTAGTCGTGCCACTGGCTCCATGATTGTATTTGGCCGTGAAAGAACTACTAGTAGGTCGTGGCTTCGGACGGTGGCATGGGAGATAAGAGGGGCTTTTATCAGCGGAAGCCAAAATACACTATAAATACGGGATGAATGATACCAGCGATGGCTTCATCCATTTGATCAATGAAGAATTTTTGAATTGGAAGCCCTCACATGGATGAGGGCTTGAAGAATTGTTGATCGTATTCATGAGTGGCCTATGGAATGAGTCGAAGAGGAAACCTGGAACTCTCTTACGAGTCTTATTTGATCAGCATAGAACCACGGATGCTGCGTCTGTACCTAAGCAAAGACGACCGACAAATACCACGCATAGGGCTGCGGCCCGCATAATGGGACACGGTGCTTTCTTTCTGTCAGGACATGTGCTTATAGTAGAATTTTATAGGGCAATCAACAGAGCATGGCTCACAGATTCTCAAATACCAGGGATGTGGCCTTCTCCGAGTCTTACATCATACGGCGTCCCAGAGCTGTCCCTTTACTATGTACAAACGCCAGTGGCGGTTCTAGACCTGATCTCGCAAGGTTTTTCGATAACCCCACTAATCTGATTCACGGACCTTGGCTCCGAACCTCCTCGTATCCTAGGGATGAAACCAAAGAAGATGAATTATTGTGTTAGGGAAAGAGCCTTACATATCCTACACGCCCAAGAAAATATGATTTCCATCCCATGCTGCCCTTTCAACCCTAGTTCAGTGATCTGCGCGTTCCGAATGTAACCTTCAACATAAGCCTGCTCCTAACGTCAACAGCAACTGCTAGGAGGCACAGAAAGTATATCTGACGCTTGTTGTAATACATTCCGACTATACCTATTTATTCCTCGTGTCCCCCTCCTCAATAATCATGAAGTACCCAGCGACTCTATCCGGCCGTAATTGAATTAGTCTGCCAACTGCACATATTGCAATGGAGGTATGGTATCATTAGTTTATACGGTTCTAATCTATACTTTTCCCTAATCCATAGGGCTTAATCTATACTTCTAACAACAGAAACATACAGGAACATAAAGGAAGAAGCATTGAGAATCATGAATAATCAGTCACAGATTACAGTCCCCGCTTCATCTTCCATCGCATGATGAAGGAAGCAAACGGAAAGAAGGCAATAGATACGCCGATCCATGCAAAAAGGATGCCGAAATCGAGGCCGATGCGAGAGTGGGTCCCGAAGAGGATGGTACGTAACGCCTCGACAACTTCTTTATGTTAGTGCTAGGAGTAAATATGCAGAGACCGGACAGACTTACTGCGATGCAATGGCCATGCGTAACCCCAGCGGAAGAATCCTGGGGCTAGATCCAACGCATAGAAGCCGGTGGCAACGTTACTGATGACCCAGAAGATCAGGAAGAGCGAGCTCCAGGGGAATCCTAAGACCATGGCCATATTCTCAAGAGGAAATCCGAGAGCACTCATGCCTACCCAGTTCAACATCCAAAACACCACAAAGGATCCATGTCCATAGGCATTTGGATTGATAGCGGAAACCGTATCTGGTGCTGGAGAATTGGCGAATGGGATCTGGAAGGCCAACGACACGAACGAGTAGAACAGGGACAGGAAGAAATACGCTGCGAGGTTGGAACACACACGCCAAAGCAGCCACTGGGGGATCCTCAGCGGAGGATGGTTGCCTTTGAGAAATTGTGCATGAATCGGCATCAGGAATGGGGTATTAAAGAAGGCGATGATAATCAGGTAAATCAACCCGATCGTCACAGAGGGTGTTGCAGCGGCCGGGCCGAATGGCCTAAGATCCAGAGTGTTGAATCCAATCGCTGGGTTTATCGCCTGGGGAACATTCGATATGTTCAGCGATTCTTGTACAATGTTCTGTACCCAACGTGGTCCGAATTCTGCCAGAACGGTGTTTGCAAAAGCCGTCAATCCCGGTATGATATAACTCGAATATGTCGTTTCGTCGCGAGCAGTGATAACAACGAACTGCGCAGCTCCAGTGGGATCATACGAGGAATTTCCATTCTGGACAGCATCATGGAGAAGGGTAGTTGCATTCGCATTGACGATGATTGCGGCGTATGCATGCTCATCATACACACCCTGTCGTACAGCCCAAGGATCATAGTTGAACTCATCCGGAGATTTTATCGTATATCCCAATCGGCCAGTTTCGGGGGTTTTGATTAGCTTCTCTGCCACGTCCATCACGGCAGGTCCGACAATTGGTTTCGTATCGAGATATGGCTCGACCATGCCATCAAAATCGACAACCCAGACCGTTAGCGAGTGGAGATTCTGTTCGACACGAAACTGGACGGCCCAGTATAGAGAAAGGATACACAGAATGAAGACGCACAGTGTAAGAACTATAGGATGGTACGGTTTAGTAAGTTTCACACAATTGACATTCTGAGAGTATCAGTATTTCCACTCACCTGTACGCCCCCATTGTATGAAGATTTGGCGCCGAACCGACTTCAGCGCGGGGTCAAAAAAGGAGACAGCAGTCGGTGGCACGTCGGCCTTGTCGCTGCCTTCGCCAATCTCCGTCTTTTCGCTCATCTCTGAAGGAGTTATCGTTCAGGACTTTTCAGGGGATGGAGGAGTAGCCAAAAGTACTCGGGGCTTGGACAGTAGTAGTACGGATGGCGCGATACCGTAGTATTTATTAGCCAAGTCATTGCCCATCACGTCAACCGCCTGATGTAAAAAAAAGAAAACTCGGGGTTTGAGACAACATTCGGGATATTTTCTGAATCGGGCACATCCTGACCTTCAGCGGACTAGATTCCGAGACCATGATTGGATCGGACATTCGCCATGTTCTCAAGGCCGAACAAGTCACGTGAGCTCTGTCGGGTGGCCGGCACGTGTCGATCTTATCTGATAGCAAATCGGAGGGCCTCCTGGGCAACGTCTTATCGGAACATCCTGTCGGATTTCTAATATCCAACGGATTTTGCGTACCGCGAGATAAACTCCGGTTAAGCTCCGTCTACAAGGACCAGCAATATATATCCCTCCATTGCCATGCCCTTGGTTCACCACTTTCTCAGTGATGAAAATCACGCCACTCAGCAGCGTTTCCTGCTGTTACGGAACTCTCAATTATATATTTGTCACTTCACGTACAGATTGAATCCTAAGAGCTCAGTTAACCTTTGCTGCTGTCATAAATCGTACCACCTCGGCTTACTGCATTACCTATACGATTGATCGATCTCGGATTTAGTCAAGGCCGAGGACTGCTCTCGTCCGAATGTCCGGAAATTCACGCCGAAATTCTTGGCCCCAACCTCGGGTATTCAAACAAGGTTGTATTTGTCAGACAAGACTATAAGAATAGGAAGGGAGAATGGCATCATTAAGCTTATGTAATACTTCTCCATAAGTAAACGTAAGCTACACATACATCAGGAAGGCCCCTTTTTATCATACTATGCTAGCACTATGCCCTGTGCATTGATCATAAAAGCCTTAGCTCCCTTCACACAGCAAGCAACGCAATCCTCGTGAGCTACTTTTGCAGTCCAACCCCACTTCTAAGCCATCGCCAGTGCAAGCATCATAACCGCACCGCCAGCGACGCACTGAGCAGCGCCAGTAGCCAATGGAATACCCGCGTTGTCACTAGTGACGGCGGTAGAAGTGGGAGGAGATAAAGGTCCCACCGTAGAACTACCTGTATCGGAGGCGGTGGTCTTGGAGGCAACAGACCTTGTATCAGAGGCCGTTGCACTGGTAGAAGAGGATTCAGTGGCAGTAATGGCGACAGTGATATAGGGGATGGAGGAACTAGTCTCGAAATTCTGAACCCCGGTATCTGAGACGAAGGTACTAGTGGCTTTGCACGATGCATACGTGGTGCTGTCGAAAGAGCAGCCCGCCGAGATGGTGCTAGGTCTGTTAGTTTCTTCATATCTTTTCTCTGTGGTTCTTGATACTTACAAGCCTGGAGTGGTGTAGGCAAACTCAAAGGTGGTGCTGCCCGCTGTGATGGTGTAACCACCATCTGGAAACCAGCACTGGTCATCATCTTCATCATCAAACCCTGCTGTAGATCGGGTAGCTGCACTAGTGGTAGCAGTGGGGGTTGCAGTTTCAGGACAGTTAAATGCCAAGGTAGTAAGGGGCCCACCAGTCTGGTTGTGGTGATTAGAAGTGTACTTCCTGCGTTGAATAGGGGTACCTACAGTGCCAATGAGTTTGGCATCGCCAGAAAACGACCCTTCCGGGTACAAGAAAGACGCAACATCGCTAGCGGCCGCGGCTGTAACGGTGACCAAGGAGGCCAAAGAGCGGGTGGATTGGAAACGCATGTTGGTGCTCTAGCGTGTGACGGTCAAACAGGCCACAGAAGAAAGATTATATCTATCAGGGGCTAAAGTGGAAACGGCACAGCTGGCTAGTTGTCCACAGGCGTTAGCCACGATGAAGATGCGTGGACGATATATCAATTGACGGCGAAAGGAACACGGTACTCCTTTGAGGGGTTGCAAAAGTGCAGTGATGCGACGCTACGAAGCATCGATAAGGCTGAGGCTCCGAAGTCTACCGCCATGGCTAGCTGCGGAGAAGAGTTGGTCGACTAATAACTGACTAACGCGACTAGACTAGCAAACCCCTC